AGTGGTTACTTTGTGTGTGCACCTGTATTTATGTAGCAGTAACACATGTGTTAGAACCAGAGTTCAGAGACATCAGAACTTTTAGATTGATAGCAAAGCAGTAAATATTTATATACTTATGAAGAAATTGTAGTCATACAGAAGAGAAGTTGTACTGTGTGTAGTCATGTGACCATTACCTAGATTAAATAACTTCTAACATTTTGCTGTGTTATTTTCAACTGTATATTTTTTGGCTGAACAACTTGGCAGGGTTGGGGGGGAGGTGCTTGGATTCAAACCTCACACCTGCCTGGCGGCACTGTGCCGCTGAGCTGTCTCCGCACCTCTAATTGGTTTCTGAAATGAAATACGAAGTGTATTCCAATCATGTTCCTCCCCCCAATACTTGAATGTGCATCCTCAGCAAGGGAGGGCCGCTTAAATCACTGCACCACCCTCACATCTGCGGAGCGGCAGAGTCCATGTTCCGGGCCATGTCATTTCAGGTCACGTGTCCACTCTCCACTCTTGACTGCTGGACTGTTGGGGTTTCATTTGCTCTGGCTGTGGAGAGAGAAACGCATGACACCCACTTCCAGACGTGGCAAGGTGCAGACAAAGGCTTGGTAGTGATGTGGGAGGAGGAAGAACTGGGAGGGGGGGTGACAGTGGGACATTGTCCAGACTGGGGAAGCAGATCCGGCAGCCTCTCTGCACCCCTGCTGAAAGGAGGAGAGCACTGTGGGGAGACAGCTATGGGGGCTCCTGGTTGCTCAGACAGGGCCTGCAAGGCAGACGGGGTGCTGCAGGCTGGCAGTGGGGGTGGGGAGGACGGGAGGGTGGAGTGGCTGAGTGGTGTGAGTGGAGGAGGAGGAGAACTGGAGGGCCAAGCGGCCTGTCCTTTCTGTTGTGTGTGTTTTAATTTTTGATTTACAAACAACTGCCTTATTTTACTTTCTGTTCCCCCTCTCTTCCATCCTCTGCTCTTCTTTTCACTGAGTTTGCAAGGTTGCGTGATGCTTTGATGCCTCTGCTCTGTGGGCCTTTCCTGCAGGATCAGTGTGATAGTGTGTGCTCTCGTAGCTAACCAAGTGAGGGACCTGAAGTTAACAAGTGTGAGCTCCTGTGTTTTTACGGAGATGTTGTTTAAAGGCAGGCTTGCCTTTCCTGGCCCTTCCGGCTGAGTTGCAGAATGTTTCAGCGAGTTCCCTGCTGGTCTGTTTTCATTTTTTAAGCCAGCAGTTACCTGTGAGTCCTAGACCTCCTTTGCACGGCTTTGGCTCCAGGGTCCCGGTGAGCGTCTCGTGGCCTTTCTTCATCTTGGTTTCTGTGAGCAGTCCAACTGTGGAGTGGGTTCCCCAGTTTTCACTTCCTCCTGGACTGCTGTTTGTGATCACCCAGGTGCACTCGTCTTCCAGTTTGGGAGAGATGCCAGCAGCTGCTCAGCACATCTGGCCAGTGGTGGTGTGAGTTCACCTGCTCCTGAGCAGTGCTGGTTTCCTGTGCCGAGGTGGTGCAGCCGTGCCTTTGGAGCCACCCCACTGAGAAGGTGACAGCCACAGGGTTGCAGCTGACATGGCCTGCAGCTGAAATTACCATAACGTTTGAGTGTCCAGTGAGCATACACACACCTGCGACATGGATTGGCCCATTGTTGGCATGTCAGCACATTCCTGTGCCTTTCTTTACATATAAAATAGTTGTGCATGTCCACTGACAATTGTGACTGTCACAGGTGTGACTAAGCGCATCCTGTGTTAGCTCTAACTGCATGTGCCCTCCACACCAGTGTCTGCTGTTAGCACACCTGCCATTCAGCGGTTCTGAAAGGTCCCACGTGGTATGGGCACAAATGGTGAATGTTTCCTTTTTCTAATTGCAGTGGAAGACACGTGGTCATGAACCCCATCACAGTGTGCATTCCCCCTTCTCCCCAACACACATGTCTACCATCCTTACCACTGTCTGCAGCAGCTCGGGAGTCCTCTCACATGAATGTCTTCAGAAGGCATGATTGAAAACCACTGATGCCGCTGCTGGGTGCTGTCCTGTGGAAAGATGGGTTCATAGAACCTGACAGTTAAGTCCTTATGTGCCTTATCTGGCACTGTGCTTTTCCTCAGAGTCAAAATGACCGTATAAGGAAACGTTTTCGTCAGTTCAGGATATCGAGGCAACCGTGACAACATAATTAAACACACGAAAGAGAGCCTCCAGAACTGCTGCAGAAAGCGGCAAGAATGAGGGAAGAAGTGTGTGAGAAGTGAAGATGGGTATGGGAGGGTGACAGTGTATCTTTTGTTGTAATTTTTTTTTTTTAATGGTTAAGTAGTCTCCAGATTTTTCAGTCACATCTTGTCTTGTGCCTGAATTCCTGCCATTTACCCCAGCATGTCTTCATTGGATGTCTGGTCATTTTGTAGACTTCAGGCCACCTGTGCAGCTGTCGGTGGTCTGGCTTTCCAATTGCTTCTCTGTGACCAGATTGAGGAAGCATAAAGGACGTGACTTAAGTGATGTGTGCTTAGCACTGCTTCTGTCCAGAGGTGATGCTCCACTTGCGCCTGTTATGACAATGTGTGTGACCAGGGCTTTAGGTAAGAAAGCAAAAGCCTCACTTTCCCCCTTTGTCACTAGTAGGTAGTCTCTAGGGTACTGTATGGCATCCTTGTGAATTTTCTGCTCCCTGGTAATCTTGACGCTACTGGCTTCAGCATCCTATCCAGGATCTTCCCTAGGATTGATAACTAACCTGGAAGTTGAAAGTGACCGTTTTCTACCTCTGTCACCCCTTCTAGTTTTATCACTAGTGTTGCTCTACAAGGCAGCTTTCAGTGCCTCCTTGCCCCAGCCTAGGGCTTGTGTATGTGTACATGCATACACATAGGTGTGCATGTGCGTTTGCGTGTGATACAGGCGTGGTCCCAGCACGCAGGGGGCTGTGCAAGAAACGGGATGCTGGGGATGTAGCTCAGTGCAGAGGCTCTGGGTTCAATCTCCAGTGCTGCAGATAAATAAGTAAATACTGTAGTCCTGGGTTTGTATTAAATTGCATAAATTAAAGAGCATTCTAGGGGTTTCCCTTTTTTCTTTTATATTTACACTTTCTGTTCTACTTGGAAATTTTGATCCTCCTCAAATTAAAACATATTTCCTCTCCAGTAACACATGAAATATATCAGAATTACATTCACAGTATGCCTGTTATAATCCTACCAAGGGAAGTTGGAGATACTTTTGTGCTTTTTTGTTAGAAGTAAGGTTTGTTTCTGTCTGTGTTTTTAGAGTCTGTTCTGCCAGGTTTATGCTCTGATGTGGAAAGTGTGTGCCTGCGCCTGGGCTGGTGGCGGGCACAGCTGTGCCCTGTAGAGTCTTGCCCAGCTCGCCCATCACTCACCCTACTCCCAGGGCTGCCAAGGCCAATGGCTCTTGTTACCCCAACTTGAACTTCTCTTTCTGACCTTTGCACAAAGGGGCATCCATGTATGTGCCTGTGCCACTTTCCTTGCATGCCGCAATCTCTTTCAGTCTCCCAGTGACACCGTGCCCCCAACCCCCGCCAGCCTTGCCTACTCAGGGACCTGGCGGCCCTTGGGTGTGTGTGGTCTCACAGTCCCGTGAGTACCCTGCACTCTGGTTGTAGGGAGGGGGATTCGTACATGTGGCATCCCCCCACCCTGCTTCTGTTCCGCCACTGGCCTTCTGCCACTGAGGTGGCGGCCTCCGGCTCTCGTGTCAGCAGGCGCTGTGTCTCTTCCTGGCCTCAGCAGCAGTGACAGACTTCTGTGCTTCTCTTGGAAAGTGCCGTCTCAGTGGTTTCATTGTGCTTTTCTTCCGAGTACACTTGAGCTGTATTTTTCTTTGATTCCTGTAGTTAAACATGTCAGTCTTTTTAATGGCTTCCGAACCTTGAGTCACAGTTAAGAAGCACTTCATGTCAGGGCTGTAGACGGATTCATGCCTATCAAGGGCCAGTGCTTGCCTGCTTACATTTTGGATGCTCACCTCTCTGAGAGGTCTGACTTTATTCTGCTGTGTGTGTAAAGTTTGGATCCCCTTCTCTAGTTCTGAATGCAGATGTCTCAGTGTCACTTATGAAAAGCTCCCAGGAGCACACAGCCTGGCCTGGTGGATTCCATCTCCCGCCCACAGGTGAAACGAGGACAGCACTCCTCTGGGTGGTGGCATCAGAGGCCCATCCTAGGGCTGGATCTGTGGGCGGCTCTGGACTTGCAGGGTACCCAGGTCAGGGGAGGCCCGGCCGCAGTGCAGTCTCCTCCAAAGCGGAGTGCTCTTGCTGCCATGGTGCGATGAGAGGAGGGTTTCAAGGAGGCCTGGGAGCCCGGTACTTCCCAGGCCGCCCAGGTAGTTGTGGTTACTGGAAAACATGTAGGGAAGTTTGTCACACCCTGGAGCTGACTGCAGACAGGCTAGGGCTGCTCCCGTCAGGATGGGGAGCTTGCCCGGAATGGGACTGTCCTTTCCCAGGTGCGCCCCTATGGGAAAAGCCTCGCAGAAGGAGCTGGTTTGGAAAGCTTGGGGCGGGCTGCGCTGTGGCGCAGTAGCCTGTGCATCCAGCAGGCAGAACCTCTGTGTCCATCCCTGCACCTGAAAGTACAGTCAGGTCAGACTGCCAGGGAGCGCTGAAACAGCATTCGAAACCACAAGGTATTGTGGTGGGGACACCAGAGCCTGCGTTGCCCTTTGCATGACCAGCGGCAGCGACTGTCCAGGGCACTGTACTGCTGCAGTCTATGGAGCACTTCCGTAGCGGCATGGAGTGCATGCTGATCTCCAGAAGGGGTCAACATGCTGAGAGCTGACTGTGGAAGGGTGTCAGTAACCAGCACGAGAGTCCCAGTCTGGAGGGAGGCTGCGTGCAGGGAGGGAGGACTGCAGAGCTGGGAAGGCTTGTGGGGCCCTGCTTCGGTGCCTGCCCCCGCCGTGTTGACTGGTTTTCATTATAAGGTGCGTTGTTTTGTGGCACTGGCTAATTAACCTTTGTGTATTCTTTTCAGAGAGCTATTACTTACCTTTTTCCAAGTGGTTTGTTTGAGAAGCGAGCCAGGCCAGTAATGAAGGTAGTTATCTTAATTTCTTTTTAAATTTCACTTAGTTTATGTGTGGCAGTAATTGTCTGATGCACTTTAAATTTATTTTACAGCATCCTGAGCAGATTTTTCCCAGACAAAGAGGTAAGTTTACCGAGGAGCAAAGCCGTTTCTCTCGCTGCAGTGCTAGTGATGGGACAGCAGTTCGAAAGCTCCCACGGTCACGGTCTCCTGGCAGAGGCCAGAGAGGCTGTAAGCCCAGTACTGAGTGACTGGATGGGTGGAGTTAGGTCCAGTCACAGTTACGTCTGTCCTGAGGTAACACCAAAGTTTTGCGTTCAGAAGAATTTAGTATAGATCTGCTGCCAGCTCAGTTACCTTTTGTTTCTTTGAAATCTTCTAATTTTTCATCATCTCAGAAGCACATTTTCACTGAATGTGGGTTTTTCCTTTTTGTCTTCTACTCGGTGATGTAATTTGCCTCCTGTTGCTGCTGATACGTTGTTCACCATCATCCTTATTACACCCCCTGTTTCTCTGGCTTCTTTTAGGATTTTTCTTTTAAATGCATTTTTAAAAATCTTAAAGAAAACTCCCAAGCTTTAGCATATTCACAAGAAGGCCATAATTCACATCTGACCGCCAGGTGGCTCTGACTGACTTTGTTAATAAAAAGACCAGTAGGGGTGATGAGACCTGTGTGTACCACCAGGGTTTCCAGCCTGTGGGGACATGCAGTGTTATCCTGGAGTGAGCACTGTGTTTACTGTGGATTAGAAGACTCCTACTCAGCGTGGACTGGTGCTAGCTGTCGGTTAAGTTAAAAACTATTAATATGAAAATTGTTTCTTTGAAAGATACTCAAAAAGTAAACCAAAATTATGCATCTTTTGGGGGTGTCCCTGGAGGTGCATGTGCACCTCCCCACACGCCCTGTTCCTTTGAGCCCGCTGCAGACCCATCCCCAAAACTTGGAGCTGTCATTTCCTTACCGAGAAGCAAAGAGCCTTAAGGAGCCCTCTGAGGAGTCTGAGTGCGAAACGTCTATATATCCATGGATTTTCCCCTTCACCCACACTGAAGCTGAATGCAACTTTATTTTAGCAGCTTGCTGTTGAATTTGAAACTTTTAACTCAGTTTTAATAGAGACAGCAGTGTCTTTCCTGTTTGCACCTAAATTTCATCTGTGTACAAACTCATTACAGTGACTGTAGACATCAATACTGCAGTGATAAGTGGCCTTTGGGGCAAACAGTGACTTCCTGTACCTGTGCCACAGAAGCGTGTCGCTGTGGCGAAGAGGTGAGAGCCCAACGTGTAGGTGGCTTGATGTGTTTCGAGGTAGAGATTGCTAAGGCAGCACATACTTCCATAGGAAATTTGTTTCTGTCTATTACATTAGTGTTTCTACCAAGCCCTAACTTTCAGCCTCACAATTCTGTTCTCCTGTTGCACTTCACTCTTTGAAATGATAGCGTCTGTCTTTTTATGAATATATTTCTGTTCCCCACTTCCTCACTTCTTGGACATGCGTGACCATAACATGCATAACATAAACCGGACTCCAGCTCCTGGGGAAGTAAGGGGCCACACTGGGCAGGTGCATCCGCTGTAAAACTACCGCTCACCTCACAGTATGAGCACAAGTGCAGTGCTGGGGTCATGGCCGTTGTGTAAATATCCCTTGTGGCAGGGGCTGCACTTGGTCCCTGTCTAGTTTTCAGTTCTCTAGCTCCCCACCTGTACCTTTCCTTCTCTTTGTTCCACGCCTCTCCACTGGTTGTTGCTCTTCTAATTCACCTGCTTGTTCTTTGAAGCCTTGTACCGGTCGGTCTCTCATCGTTAGAAGTTTGTGGTTCTCGAAGCTGCATTGGAACAGCCAAAACCTCCCTATGTCCCTGCACCCCGTCCGTGTCTTCAGGATTGTCTTGATTGCAGTTAACTAGATTTAAGTAATACCCTTAGAGTTAGTGAGATGTTTATTGCTGTGCTTTTTCTAGTTTGTACTTTGTAAACATAGGACAAACTAATTTTTGTGGGCTTAGAAAATGACCATGAACTTTAGATTTGGGAGGATTATGCTACTCATACTGCCATTTCCCTAATTAAAAGGTGGAAGCTTCTAGATTGAGTTAGCATAAGAATCATGCTGTGCCAGTGTCAGAATATTGAGAAGATGAAGATGTCTCCCTGCTTGATGGCAGCAGCACGAAGCACCTCGGCCGCATGGCACAGGCCGGGGTGACGGGGGCTGGGGAACTGTTCAGCTTGACAAGGGCACTGGTGCATACTGATGACCCTGTTCCCACCCAGTGCGCTTGGCCTTGTGTATACCGGTGACCCTGTCCCCACCCAGTGCATTTGGCCGTGTGCGTACTGGGGAACCCTGTTCCCATCCAGTGCACTTGGCTGTGTATATACCAGTGACTGTCCCCACCCAGTGCACTTGGCCCTGTGCCTTGTGGCACCAAACCTTCAGCCTTGCAACACTGGAAAGCAGGAGCTGTTAACTAATGCCGTAAGGAATACAAACAGCACCTCAGGGGTGTATAGCTAGGGATACAAGTACAAAGAGTGGCCCTCGCTCTTGCCTTAACTGGTCAGCTAACCCAGGGTCTCCTGCTTTCTACAGCTGAGCAGCAGCCCTCACTCCTTTTTTAAATTTTAGTTTAAGACCAGATCTTACTAAAGTGGCAGGTTGACATCAAATTTGTGATCTTTTTACCCTGGCAGCCCAAGTAGCTAGGAGCATGGGCAAGCTACTGTAGCCAACAGAAATTACATTTACAGGCTTTTAAGACACAGGACAGTGGAACCAGTTCCTGTCCAACCCTGTAGGGTGTGGATATGGCATCAGGCAAGACAAACATACATATAGATCATTTTAAAAGACCGAAAGCAAATGAAGTACTCGGTTTAGGAAGTCAGTAGAAAGAATAAATTAATAATGAAAAATTAAAACAAAAAGGTGAGATAAAAAAAAAACAGTTCTTTAAAAAAACAAGGAACTCACTTCTGGCAAATTTGATCAAGGAAAAAAGCATAAAAGAACATATTAAGTGGGATTTTTAAGGTTTTTTTTTGGGGGGGGGGTTGTTTTTGGTTTTGTAGTGCTAGTGATTAAACCCAGGGTCTCATAAAGGTTAGGCAAGTGCTGTACCACTGAGCAGGCAGTGTCAAGCATAGTATTAAAAATTTTAAATAATAACATTCAGAGGAATTTTTAAGTACAAGATTGGTATATGGATTTTATTCTTTTTATTTTACTCTTTTTATTCCCCAAATAATAGCTAACATCCATTGAAATTTGGAATAGGCCAATCAGCATTCCCAGTGCTTTGTATGTATCAAAACCTTCTCAATAATTTTCTTAGGCGCACACTGTGATTTCCCCACTTCTCGATGTGGGAAGCAGAGTATATCCAGTGTAACATATCCAGGACTTGTGGCTGGGAAGTCGCCAGCGGGTAATAGATCCACGTGACCTTAGGACACAGCTGTGAACGGCCTGGCACTGACTCTCACACAAGGGCTTTAAGAATAGCTCAGTCTTCACGGCTGTCGTACTTTAAAAATGCAGATGACACAAAACACAGAGAAGTCCATGTTGTGACAAGGCCAGGCCCAAGACATCGTGCCAGTGAGTATGCGTACACAGAGCAGGGAGAAAGGAGAGGAGCCAGCTACACTCTGAGATTCTAGGGTGTGTTAGAGGAGGTTTTCCTCCGGGAGTCTCAGAATAGTTAACATCAGAAATGTATTCATGGAATTCTGTGTGTGAAAAGCAAAACATACGTATAGAGGAAAAATAAAATCACCTAACAAAATTGAGCTTTGACCTGTTTGGTAAAAGTGCTTACACGGAAGTAAGTGTTTAAGGACAACTGTCACAAGAACAGAAACTTAGCAATTTCAGAATACACCTTTCCATTCCATGCAGAGTGAGGGTGCCCACTCGCTTCTCTTAGGATTTTAAGTAGAGAAGAAAAGCAAAACACACATGGCTTTCAGTGCCTCCCAGTTAGGACAGTCAGTTGTTACTCGTCGATGCTGTGATTGTCTGCTGAGAGAGTGAAAAACATTAAACCATAAATGGCATCTGAACTCCAACGTTGGAAGTGTGCATGGCTCTAGACACTTCTGTGAGCACCTTTTATGAACTGCACTGCAGCGCAGTAGAACGGTCACAGGTGTGCACACAGAGAGAGGTGGGGATGGTGCCAGGGCAGGGCTGTCCTCGATGCGGGCGGTGAGTGAGTGACCATCTTTCTCTGGCTGTGGACATCTAGCCAAACAGGAGCCACTCTAAGGACACTGACTCCCAGATGTGCAGATCCAACCTGAGACCTGCGTACGGACGTGCATGTGTGTTCTCTGCCTTCAGATTCCTTTAGCAGAACATTAAAAAGTAGGTTGTGTTAAGAAGGTGACACTTGAGTTAAGACTTCTAGAAGTTATTATGTGTCCTTGGCATTAAATTCAGACTGTAGAAGAGAATTGCATAAGATGGTTAATGGAATAAGTATAGAGCTGTCCATATTTTTAAAATGACAGATGTTATGCCCTTAAGTCACAAAAAAAGCAAAAAATAAGGATGATGATCTATTTTGAAGATTAAAAAATTCTCTTTCACAAAAAGATTAGAAAATTTGAAGCATGGTACCCAAATAATGATATCTAGAATGAATTACTCTTAACCAAAAAGCTTAGTAACTAAATGGGCAAAAGGAGATTAAGCAACTCATAAATGAAGAAATAAAAAGTAGCCAGTAAACATCTGAAACTATGGGAAACCACAGCTCATATCTGGTACCACAATAACAAAAAGACTCTTGCCCCAGGAGATTAGAAAAGGCAAATATTGCTTGTCAAGAAACAAATCAGCAACAGCCTAACTATTTATCACTGTATCACTGAGGAGCTAGAGAGACCAGCAGAATCAGACCCTGGAACATACGCAATTGGTCAAAGGCGGCTGTTCTTGTTGTGTGTTGGCACAAGTGAGAAGCCGGGCTGGAAAAGCAGCTAAAAATAGTGCAGTGTGTTGTAGATGCAAGATAACATCGCTGAGGTTTGTTTGCATTAAAAAATACACAAGGCCCACTCAGTTTCTTGCAGATGCACGTCTGTGAGGCAGAGTCCTGCTCAGCACACTCTCCCCTCGCCTTTGCTAAGGAGCTATGATCTTTAATCTCCGTAATAGCAGTACGTTACTTGTGTGACTGAAGTCATCTATTTTGGAATCTGTACTTTGTTATAATTAAATGGGAGGAGGTAGGATGAACAGCAGAAATCATAAACTGTTTACAAATAATAAGATGGAAAAATCTGTAAGAGACTTACTTAGAAAGTCGTAAAACTTGAGTAAGGCTCAATCGTGAAAAATCTGAGTAATTGGAAAAAAGATTCCACATTCTTACAACAGAAGACAGTATTCCAAATTGCTGTTCTCAAGATTAGTAAGTTACCAGTCAGTGTCATGGTGTGCTTTGGGGGTACCTGGTCAAGGTTCAGGGTGCAAGAAGCAGCAAGGATTCTTGAAAAGGGGAGTGAGGGCATTCGTAGCACCTTGGGTTGAGACACAACAGGAGGCTGTGACGGTCAGAATGGTGTCTGGGGTGCAGGACAGGTGGACCGTGCAGCAGAGGTGTGTGCAGTCAGGCATAGGCTTCTGTCAGGCTTTTGTGACATCTAAAATACTTCCCCCCCACCCCCAAATTTTAGCATCTTGGCTGCAGGATGCACTTTGCAAGTAGGCTAGACTTTGTGCATGCAGTAGCTCACAGCTTTCCCTTTCACTTTGTGGTGTGATGAGGTCCTGCCTTATTTACTTTCTTGTCACGGGACAGAATGCTCATCACCCACAAGTTAAAGAAGAAAGGTTTATTTTAGCTCACAGTTTGTAGAGGTTTCAGGCAAAGTGGCCTGGCAGAGGAGAACTGCTCAGGGAAAGGCAGCCAGAACAAGAGCCTTTCTCTTCCTTCTTGGATTTCTTCCAGGTTGCAAGCCTGTTGGCTAGTGTTGCCCACATCCGCCCTCCTTACTACAACTGTCTTCTACACTCAGAATTATCGTGAACCGATTAGTGGGCTGATCGATCCAGTATCACACACCCATGATCGGGTCATCTGCCAAAGCCTCACCTTTGGGCACATAAGGCTTTGGGTGACTGTTTACGTACAAGCCATAGCAGGTACCTTACGCCCGTGTCGGCCTGGGCTGGTTCCCTGCGCTTGCTTCCAGCAGGGTCTCCAGAGACAGGCCCAGAGGACACAAGCCCTCTTCCTGGACAGAGTGCTGGCTGGCTTTCAGCTTCATACAGATGATTTCCAGATAAATTAAATATCTGAACAGGAAAATAAAAATTCTAGAAGAAAATCGTTGGAGCGAAGCTAAAACTTTTTTTTTAATTTAAGGAGTAAAAATTGTTTCAGAGCAATAGGAGGGTAACAATGGTTATTTTTAAATTATTTACTCAATAGAAAATAACACTTAACTGTCCAAATAATGTTAGCACAAGCCTTTCTTTTCAGTGAACTTAGAAAAATTAGTAATGTAACAGTTTCATTTTCATATTTGCTTTTTCCTTCATTCTTTTCTCCATTCGCCTATTAAAGTTTCTTTCCTTTTGAAACATTTTCCCGCATTACAGTATCTGTTGTACATTTTGGATCTTACTCTTTCAGCTTCTCACACTTGGGAGACAATACAATGTTTACACAATGAGTATGGTCTCAAATTGCATCCAATGCCTTAAGTTTATCCTTCTTTATGACTGAGTAGTAGACCATTGTATAAAAATATCATATCTTCTTCATCTGTTCCTCGGTTGATGGGCATTTGGGTTGCTTCCAAGATCTACCTATTACAAATTGTGCTGCTAGAGACACATGGGTGTACATATGACACAGTGGTATGATGTTTTTAATTCTGCTGGGAAATAGCTGGACCAAATGGAACCTCTAATCCTAGTGTTTTGAGGAGTCCCCACAGTGATTTCCACAGTGGCTGCACCAGTCTGCACTCCCACCCACAGTGGAGAAGGGTCCGTTTCCCCTCAGCTCTCTTGGAGTTTGTTGCTGGTTGATTTCTTGATAAGAGTCATTCCTTCTGGGGTGAGGTGGATGTGGAGTGCTGATTTAATTTGCCTCTCTTGAATGACCAGTGATGTTGAATGTTTCTTCATGTATTTATTTGCTGATTGCATTTCTTCAGAAGTCTGTGTTCATCTCAGCTGCCCATTTTTGGATTGGATCTTTAAACTGGAAGGACTCATTTTTTTGTTTGTTTGTTTTGTTTTTGAGTTCTATATGTTCTCGATAGTAATCCTTTGTCCGAGGAACAGCTGGCAAACGTTTTTTTCCCACACTATGGGTTATCTCTTTACTTTGTTGATGGTTTCTCTTGCTGTGCAAAAGCTTTTTAATAAGATGAAAACCCAGTTGTTGATTGTGACATTTCCTGTGTGATCAGGGCTTTATTTATAAAGTCTCTGCCAACACCAGTGTCTTGAACAGCTTCACCTACTTTGTCCTCCAGCAGCTGTAAGGTTTCTGTTTTAATGTTCGTATCTTTGATCCAGTTTGAATGTAGGGCATAGTGAAGGACACGGGTCTGGTTTTCATCCTTAGAGCCAGTTTCCAGCACCATGTATTAAAGAGGCCGTCTTTCTCCCAGTGAGTGTGTTTGGCACGGCAGCCGAGTGTGTCCACAGTTGTTTCTGCATCTTCCAGTCTGTTCCATTGCTCTTCAGGTTATTTTTTTGCCAGTGTCATGCTGTTTTTAGCACAGTAGAAGCTGAGGCCTTTTAAAGCCCACCTTCTGGTGGAGCAGGGGTTTTTCATAGAGATGAGGGGACCGTGCTGCTTCAGGGCTGGTGGCCCTCAGAGGCCCACACCAAGGTGTCGTGAGGAGGAGGCTCCCAGAGGCTCCTTGCGGAATCCATCTTAGTGAAGCGGTTGAGAGGACCCAGCAGATTCGATCTTATGATGCAAAGTTTTCATTTCTTAATCTCAAAAAATGCCACAAAGCAGCAAGTAGGTGGCACACTGAGAGAGAAAGTTCCCAATCCTGTGAGGTGAGGAAATGCAGTTCTTGTCTCAGTGCACAGGGTTGCTGCAAACAGGTGAGGGGCCGACTCCGCAGAAGTGTGGCCAAAGGTGTGGGCTGGTGTCCGGCTCCCTTGCCGCAGCTGTGCCCAGAGCTGTCAGATGGGGACAGTCGGCCGTGTTTCAGAGGAGGTACACAGAGGACCCTCGTGAGGCATTCTGCTGAGGACGCTCAGAGATGCATCTGCGCAGGGTCGAGACAAATGGTGAGGATGTGACCCCACATAGAAGGGTCGAGTCCTCGGTCTAATTTATGAGACTGTGCCTGTTTCTGGTTCTCTGGGTGCTGCGCTGTTGACTGTCGGTTTTCTCTGGATGGCGAGACCTTTATGTGCTCGTAGCCAAATAGAACTTTGCTTTTTTTTAATCTAACAAGGTAATTTGAGATATTTTACATGTTTCTATGTAAAACAAATTATAGAGATTCTCATGGTAGAATATTTTATTAAATATAAACATTGTTCTTTTAATGGATATGAAATACTATTCTGAACATTTGCATTATAGATGTGTTAACTATAATTCTATATATTCTGTAACTATAACTTAACTTTTTATTTTAGAAGTTAATGGGAATTACAAATATGCTCCCTAACTACAACTAATGACAGCTGTTTGATGTGTCACTGAGTATATTTTTATTTGTATCTGGCATTTCCCTAGCAATGCAGTGGGGAGAAGACGGCCGTCCATTTCACTTCCTCTTCTACACTGGCAAACAGGCATATTACTCGCTGATGCACGTGAGTATACCACGTTCATGATAAGTAACATCAGCACGAGCTACAAAGCCATTCAGCTTCAGGAGTCGCTGAACATTTTGCCATGGACGAAAGTCAGCCTCCTGGAGGGAAGACAGGATGCCGACGAGAAGCTCCCTGCTTTTATCTGTGCTGCTGTTCAGAACGTGTCTCAGAATGGTTTGCCCTTCGTGCTCTCTTTCCTGGCAGAGCCGGGAATGTAAACGGAGGCATGCACAAGCCCCCAGTACTACCCTGCAAAAGAGTGTTCCTGAGGGGCCAAGTTCAGTTTCTAGGGGAAGGCTGCCCAGGTGTGGAGTTGCCAGGGCCTGGGGCGCTGACTCCATCGCTGCTTTTCTTGGTCACAGACCACTTCTCTCAGGTGAACTGAGTCAGGAGTTGAGCGTGCAGGCCCAAGAAGCAACCTGGGAAATGATTTTCCTATATTTGGACTTCCAGCTGCTTTTGAGGGTACCATGAGGGTTTTGTTTAGTTTTGAGAGCTGCCTTTGATGGTGTACAAATTGGGAAAGTTCCCCAGAATTACTGTGAAAAACAAATGCCAGCGTCCAGTTTTAAACAGCAGAACCTGCTTTATTTTTAGATCGTGGTGTCAAGATCTGCTTTACCCATTCTGTGATTTTTAAGTCATAATGTTTCTGGGGCTTCCCCCTTCCACAGTCGGGTTTCAGTGTATGAACTGGTGAACACACTCACGCTCCCTCTGTCTTTTACTTATCTGGTGTCTGTTTGTGCTCCACAAATCCAAAGGACACAATCTCCACTTGGCAGGTGCATTTATTTCTCGGGAAGAAAAGAAAGCCTTCTCTTCGCTTTCTGTTGACCTTGGGCAAATGAGCTTCCTGCCCCAGCGGGAATGAAAGGGGTGACGGATGCAGAGCGTGTCTTTGCTGAGTAATGGTGCTGGGCCGCCTCCCCGCTCCCTGCACAGCCCGAGGCCGCCCAGGCCCCCCGCTGCTCATTTAAATAGGTATGTCAGATCTGCCCTGTGCTGCTGGTGTGATCCGGGGTAATATTTGTGAAGGCTCCATATGGACTTGAGCCCCCTGCAGTGCTAAGAAATAATGTACAACGCTTCATGGTGCAGACACAGATTTTCCCTGCAAAGGGGTGCGGAGCTGTGCCTCAGCTGTCGGAGAAGATGATGGAGCTGACGCGCTCGGCCTGTCAACTTGTTACACGGATGGCTTGCACGCAGCGAGGTTGTGGAAAATCTGTGCCTTTTAACTTTCCTACTTAATCACGGTTGTAGCATTGCCTTTAGACTGTATGCTACATTAATTCTCTTCCTGCCTTCTGCCTTTCATCCCGAGTTTCACGGGGAAGAGTAAAGCACGAGGGTCTCGTGGAGCCGATCCAGCAGCTGTCATCTGACAAGCCATTTGCATTTGTTTGGGCTGGAACCGTGCAAGCCAGGGGCGAGACGTTTTGTCGCATTCCATCATAATGAAATTACACATTGTATGAGGCCTAACTTTATTTTTAGTTTGTTTTCCTGTTTGAAAAGAACCTGGTTTCTGAGAGGATAAAATCTCACTGTGCTCCCTGACTGAAATATCTATCGAATTCTGTCTGGCTACATGGTCTTTCTTTTCAAGGAATGCAGGTTTTGTGGCACACAGAGGGGTTCCCTGTGTGCTTCTGTTTTAGTTCAGCTCTGTCACTGCTGCTTTGTTTGCCAGTCACTCCAGCATCCCCAGCAGCAGATGTCGCAGTTCCAGCTGGGGCAGGGGCACCTTGACTGCGGGGCACCCAGCGGCTGCCGTGAGAGACGCTGATGCTCTGACACTGCCCCAGGTGTCCACTGTCCAGCTGCAGAAAGACCTAGTGAGCAGCAGCATCCCATGTGCCTCCTGAGGTAGGGGCACCCCCTCTCTGCTGCATGATCACTGGGAGCCGCCCCTGAGCGCACGTAAGCTCTCAAGACTTGGGACTTCGTGGCTGTGTTTCTTGCTGTTGGTGTGATTCAGTTCCTGTGTGACAGGCCAAGGATGCTGAGCAGCTCTGCTCTCCACGCCAAGGGCCAGCTGCAGCAAGAGCAGGGCAGGGCCATGATGGGCAGCTGTGTGAGGAGCCCCTGCACCCGCTCATACCCCTTAACGTTGCCTGCCAGGCCTCCTGCAGCTGGGCCTCTGTGTGCTGCCACCCTGCAACTAACAGATGAGCCTCCTCATGCACTCACAGCCTGCGGCAGTGGGAATGCTCCCAGGGATGCCGTCTCCCTTCGACCTGCATTTGGTCCCACCAGGCTTTGCAAAGAACTGGGCAGGATTTGAGGAGGGACCGTAGTGATGAGAACTGAAGTGAGGTAGGAAAACAGTGCACGCAGCAAGTGTCCAAGTGCATGAGTGTGCTCTGCTCCCGGCTGGCAGGGCCATTTCCTATGGATGTGACTCATGAGCCCCATGTCTTCAGATGCCTGGGGAAGCTCCAAAACCCCATTGGCCTTACGGCATTATTAGTAAGACAGACGTAAGTAACAAAACAATACAACAGTACCAGTGTAATGCCTGAACAAGGAGAGGTACTTTCCAAAGAATAAGCGACTTCTGAGCCTCAAAATGGTGTTGAGAGCCATGGAGGCCTTTGTGCCTGGTGCCCCCAGCCCCGCTAGCTTCCCGCCTGGCGTGGAGAGATCCATGTCCTCAAGCACCCCTTAACTAGTATAAGCTGCGGGCTTTGCAGACACGGTTCACAGTGGAGCAGCCTCAGTTTATGGTTTAGGAGCAGAAGAAAGAGAAAGAGAAAAAACAAAAGTTTTCCAAATGTGGAGCGAGGCTATAAGGGGAAGGTGTAGGTGCGCATGGAAGTGAGGAGCTCAGGGGCCTGCGCAGAAGGAGCGGAGACACGTGTGTAGATGGCGCATTCGCAGCCCCTGCAGTCACTGTTCTGTTGGAGCAGGTTCGTTACTTTCAGACAAACGTCGGTCTAAGGTTATGGGTTGTGCTAACACCTATTGTTTTGAAACAGAATTCACTAAAAGCAAGTTCGAAGTGATAGCTTCCGTGACTGTCACTGGCTGAGAGCACTTATAGAAAAAGGCAGCTTCTCAGGCACAGCTGGAGGGTCAGGCCGCGGCTGTAGCTAAAGAAAGTGACTGCTTTGCCCATTGCTCTCAAAGGCAGTGGACCGTGAGTCCCTTTGTGCCCAGGCTGCCCTTTCATGTCCCATCAAAGCTGTGCTGGGAAAAGTGGCCCAAATGTTGGAAACGTTCAACAATGTCCCAAGAGGCCTTACTCAGAGCGAGTCCCCAAAGACAAGGTGGGCGTCGCCATAGACTCAGGGGAGGGGTGTCCACTGGCAGCTGCCTTGGCCTTGATGCTGGAGCCACATGCTCGCTAGAGGACTCGGTGGGCAGCACCACACAGAAGCGTCCACACAGCCTAGGACGAGCAGCGCAGGGAAGAGTGGCATTCTCAGTGCTTCCTCTGCATGAAGGAGCTGTGCTTGGCACTGGGCAGGCTCACAGCGGACACCCCTGAGATGAGGGACCGGCGGCTCAGTGCCTACCCAGACTCTGTGCAGAAACAAGACTTCTGGTCCTGCTGGCAGAAGCTCCTGGCTGTGCATCTGCAGCTCCTCTCAAATGACAGAAGACCAGTGCCCCAAGAGAGCTGTGGCCTGGAGCCCAGGACACAGCAAGCCCAGGGGACTCGGCTTGGGGCTGTTTCCAAGTTCCTCGTGGCCACGTAGAGAACTCTGAAGACTTGTGGGTGTGGTGCTGTTTCCTCCAGGACCAGGATTAAAGCAGTTCCCGTTGGAGGGAATTGTTGCACCCCGCCAAGTGCGGGTGCGGGTTCAGGGAGGCTGGGGCTATTGCTGCAGGCTGCTGTGTGCTGTTCTAAGAGTCCTTGGCAGCAGGCATTAATTCAGTAATGAAGTCAGCGGTAGGAATTGGCGTTCCAGGGGTGTCCTTAATGTATGCTCTCCTCTCCTATGAATAATTACCATTATGTATCTTTTATGCTCCTACTCTAACAACTGGGAAGATTAACTTTTTTAAACAATGGATCCAACTTGTTACTGCCTCTGCATTGCTTGCAGTTGGGTTACTTCTGCTGTGATGGCACAGAGGTAGGCGGTGCAGTTATAACTGAAGAGGTTGAACCTGATGTATTCAAGGCTCCCTTCGTTGCTGTCGCCCAAACCGTGCTCTTCTCTAGCATCCAGATGGCAGCTCTGTTAAAGCACCTGCCCTTTTCCATCAGGCAATATCACACATCATGAGTGGCATCATTGGACGCGTCCACTATACCAGCCCCATGTTCACAGAGAAGCGCAGTGGTCTGCTGTAGACCTGACCCACCTGGAACTGAGGTCCTTGGCAGTGACCTCTGTGAATTAGATTTATACGTGCTCCACTTGATATTGTGTATCCCAGAGACCTAGAAATTAGTTGGTAGTTAAGACTTTTTTTCCTGTGGTTTTTTAACACAGATTTTAAGTTACTGAGCTAACCAGTAATTGCTATTAGTTTGTTACTGTTTATCTTTGTGACTTTTCCTGTGCCACTGTCCTCCATGAAATGCTGCATTTCTCTCCTCAAATTGGAATTTCCACAGGATGATACGGCCACTGCAGACTTTAAAAGGCTACTAAAAATCCTGCCACCCACACTCTTGGTAGGGTTTTACTTTAAGCATTTCTTTTCTGCAACCTGAGCATCTGGTATTTTCAAATTAGGCACCTTCTAAATTTGACTCATGCATTATGGAAATCTGATGGCATGAGGGGTGGAAAGGCTTGCTTTGATTTTATGAAATATTAATCATAGCTGTGATTAATGATTCAGCATTTCACATCTGGGTTATTCTTGTCGTATTTGAAAATTACACTATTAAATACCCTATATAAACTTAGTGTAGGTGGGGTCACTCTAATTCTCTAGTGTCCCCTAAAATCAAGTGGAAACTTAACAATGTATCGGTGATAATCTGTGATGTTGATGATGCTTGGCATCTTCCATACCCTCAAGAATTTTTTGATGTAAATTAGAATGCATCTTCAGGGAGTTGAAGCTGCAGGATCGACTTTCCAGAGCACTGTTGTCACTACCATGGCAGACTCTCACGAGCAGTTTTGTTATGCAGTAGATGGGGAATCCGTAGAGATGCCGCCCAGTAGAATCTAATCCATTACCCCTGGGAAGCTGCCCTTCCTCGCCAAGGTCAGGCACCGTACCACTCCTCTCAGGAATTTTCTTACATGGAGAAGCATGCAGAGCTGGCAGTATGGTCAATAGTAGAGCAGATGCCTGGCACCGTGCAGCCCTTGAGCCAAACCCCACATTTCCCTCCCCCGGAAGGAAGTCTGTAGGGCGGTGTCATGCTGTTGTGGGATTTGTTGGGTCACAGCATCAAGCTATGAGTGTGTGCCTCACAGGAGCAGAATTTACCATTTTCAGAGTTCATCCTTTCCATGGCTGCTTTTCTCTTTTCACATTTTCTTCACCCGGTCATTCCCCTCACACCATTTCTAAGTTGTTATAGATACTAATAGACACGAAGGAAATGCATGGCAGAATGGAAGAATCCTCTCAGAAAAATAGGAACTTAAGGTAAAGAACCTTGTTCAAAAGGCATTGCAATCTTATGATTAGGTTGGCAGCCTAAACTTTGACCTGGACCTTACTTATGAAGAAGGTCGGTTGTTAGTATTATAGAAGCTTTGGTTATTCCAGAAAACTAGTGACACGCTTTCTAGTGGTAGAGGAGCTTCTTACTGTTGTTCTAGGCTCATACTTCCTTAGCCAGCTTTGAAAGCCCTCCCGTCTTTGCCCTTTGCACTCTCCAAACCCCAGGCCTTGGGACCAAGGCAGCTGTGAGGATGCGAGAGGTAGCTCAGGGCAGTGTGTGCTTGGCCAGTGTGAAGCCCAAGTTCCCATCCCAGCACACATGTGCATATATGCATGTGTGTGTACATGTGCGCATGCACACACACACACACACACACACACACACACACACACACGTGAGTTAAAGGTACCCTAGCCACACTTGAAGGCTTTCCAATTCTTGGGAGACCGACTGTAAAATGTCAAGTTGAGTAGCAGGTACAGATTCTAGATGCAGGTGTTCACACACAAATCAGTTCTTACTCTGTTCGTGGTGGACAGTGAGTCTTGGTTTTAAACGTGTGCGTGTGTTTCTCCACTGCATGTAGTGATGGACTTGCATCAGGGAGGCAATCCTGTAGGTGCAGGGATGGACTGACTCTGTTTGCCCCTTCTGTGCCTCTGTCATCCCCAGGCTTCCGTGTGCGTTGCTGGCAAGCTTGCTAGATGCCCTCAGAGGTTCCCCTCAGCAGGTTTGGCAGGCTGGAGAGTTCCTTGCTTCTGACTAGTTCTAGGTTTGATGCTGCTGCCACCTGCCTGGGCCTCACCTCAGGGCTGAGCTGGAGGATTTGCTTCTGTCTGAGACACACGGGCCTCTGGTACTGCAGTTCACCCGGTCTTACAGCTTCTGAGTGTGGCACCCATTCTTTTTCTGTGTATTTTCCTTTTCTAAACTACTGGTGATACTGCCTTTAGGGGAAACAAAAAAGAAAGCTCTTCTGTGTCCCCCGGACAAAAAGAAGGAACATTTCTGTCTTGCCCTTGGAATAACACCGCAGCTGTCCTCCCCGATGTGTGATGTATGAACTCAGAGACTGGGGCTTACTCTTCAGTATCATTTCTCCCAGGGAGAGAAGCAGACTCCTAAAAAGAGACTGCAGATGAACCAGTACTGAGGTGGTCAGCCCACACCCGGGCGAAGAGCACCTCAGAACAAACTGCTACGAGTGGCACCCTGGCAGCCTGGCCAGACCCCCAGAAGCTGCCACCTAGCCCGAACTGCTGACTGTGGAGGTGCACATTGCATCTCCAGGGGTAACAAGTGTGTCAGCCGGCCAGGCATGTCAGAAGCCTTCATGATTAGCAAAAAGCACTGCATTCGTGTCATCTGCAGTGCTTCCTTTTCCCACGCTGAGGAGCAGACCCAGGCACCGTGGAGCACCTGGCTCAGCAGACGTGCTGTGCCTGGTCATACATGTGGGCGCTCACGGGACTGAAGGTGAGGCCTCGAGGCAGAAAAGTCTGCTCGGCTGCAGGCCCCTGCTGGGCAGGTGCAAAGCCCTTAGTTTGATTCCTGGTTTAAAAGAGAATCTAAAAAGTCTGTTGAAGAAATGAAGTTTGATCATGCCACGCTGTTAGGAGGTCATTGTGTTGTTCTGCTTGTGGTAAACTCATTGCCTGGAAAATATACTTCACAGATAGCCTGTTGCTGGATTATTTTTTACAGATTCTCACAAAATGACAGATTTTTCTCTACCTATTACAGTTTAAAAATTGATACACATTCATAGACTTTAAGTGTCAATTAATAGAAATAAAATAATAAAAATACCATAAAAAGTTTCTTCTGAGATATAGATAACGGGGTGCAGTCTTAAATGTTACATAAAGTTAAGTCAGGTATTTCAGCTATAAGTATCATTAAGTCTAGTAGGTAGTTTTCTAAACTTAAAGTACATATTGCTGTCTAAACTGTGATATTCCTTAAGGGAGGTATTGGTTTTGTTTTTGAAGTTTTTATCCTGTTTGTGATGCTCTTAAGGAGAATAAATAGCTGATAAATTGTTTCTGTTGTGGGAATCACCCTCCCTGGAGTGCAGACGGAAAGCGTTTGGGTTGCATGTGAACAGGTAAGGTGGGTGCACTCGTGTAAAACTGCACACTCACTGAAATGCCATACTCTGGTTGGGTGAGCAACAGTTTTATTAAAAGCATTTCCACTCTGTTTCCTCCGCAGCTGGACCAAGGAGGCCCCTACGAAGGAGCCCTCCTCATGGGAGAGCAGTGTAGCAGCACCGAGTATGGCGTGCCTGCCGCTCTCACAGTAGCATGTGTGCTCTGTTTGCACAGGACATATATGGGAAGATCCTCCAGGCTGAAAGTCGTGAAAGTCAGTTGCCGCCCAAGAACCTGCTGCCAGCAAACACAGAAGTCATGTAAGTCCTTGTCTCACGTTAGAATACAGCGAACTTTGTTGATCCAGAGCATGCCACGCACTGGCACTCCAGTGTTCCAGCATCAGTCAGTACAGTGTGGGGCTCCAACCAGTGGGTGACTTGTTTAGGGGGCGCTGGGTCACTTCTTTCAGATGTATTGAGCAGTGATTGCTTCGCTGTGTCTGGGTTTGCCGTCCTCTGAGCTTCGCTGCACACCACAGTGGCAGCCGTGGGCCTGGAGGGTCCCGGGCTTATGCTGTCACTCGGCAAGCGTCCGTGGGTCAGATCCATCAGCCTGTGTGACCGCGTTTATCTGGGGGCTACCTACTCCTGTGTGCCTTTGTTCCTCTTCTTTGTCTCCTTTTCTTCCTTTTCTCCTGTTTTTTGCAAATCTGTAAGTGCGCTACATTGAAGCTGTGAATGTGTTCCTAGTCTTATCTCAGATGTTACTAATTCTTGCGCCCGTTGGCAGCTTGCTCTGTGTCCATGGGTGTGTTCAAAGCAAGTCCCACAAGCGCAGTTGTAACCTTGAGGACATCAGGTAGCTTTTAGATGAGTCCACCCATTACAGCATATTTGATTCTTCTAAACATTTACTAGAGTCAGTGTCTTCTCTAACGTAGATTGTAGAAATAGAGTAATATTTCTCAAAAATGGTTTACTTGGGTGAAAATACTTTATATGAAAATTGGTTTCCAAATCATGACTTGCTACTGTATGTAGGATCTTTTGTGATATAGTTCTAATTGCATGGTTAATTAAAAAGAGAATATATGTGATATTTTAACAGAGATCTGATTGGCAGCAGATGGCTGATTAAGGAGGAACTAGAAGAAATGTTAGTGGAAAAACTGTCAGATCAAGATGTGAGTAATTAATCTTTTTAATTTAAGGGGACCTGTGCCGTAAAAATGCAGACAGTTGCTGGAGTGGGGTCCTGGTAGTGGGGTTCCTCGGAGGCAGATGTTCCTGCACGTGCCCCTCTGGTTAGCATGGCCCCTGGTGATTTCTGAAATGGGGCAGGGTGTGTGTGCGGTCAGAGAGTGCTATGTCACCCCGTTAGGCAGTTTTAGGAGCACAGAGAGGCCTGCATAGCTCCAGGCTCACAGTGAGCGCAGCTTGGAAGGAGGGTGCAGCGCAAGGCTTCCTCCCTCTCCCTCCTCCTACCCAAGGGTGCTGTCTGTGAGAGCAGCCCTGGTGTCCTTGCACCAACCCTGCCCCGGTCCTCAGAGCAGTGCAGGGCCCTGGGGCGCCTAGGAGTCGCCTGTTCTCAGCAGTTCCCACAGTTTGTGACTCCGCCCGCGGCTCTTCTGCCTTCATTGAACTCTGTTTTGTTAGATTTCTGATGTAGCTCCTCACTGTGGAGGAAGGGTGATGTTTCAAATGTTTTCATGTTCTAAATTGAGGTGATTTTTCTCGGCGGTTTTGAGCAGAGATAAGGGTCACAGACCCTTCTGAGAAGGCTTTTTCCTCCTCCCTGCGGCGGGCACTGTTGGTGCCGCAATGCTGGTAGAGCCAAAGTCACTGCTGCTTTGCTCCTTTAACATGATGGAGAAATTCATGATTTGGAAAAGTTGCAGTTTGCTTCAACAAGATGTCAGGCATTTGCTTAGTACTGGGTCCTGAGCCATTTCTGATAACCTTGGCCAAGTGTGCCACACTGGAGTTAGTGTAGGACTCTGTGCTTCTTGATTGAGTGTATCTTTTCATTGTTTCCCTGCTGTTGGACTGCTTTGATTTTATAATTCAGGTTTGTCCCAAAGATTTCATGTAGGAGTGCACCAGTGAAATAAAACAGACTGTCTGTGACATCCTTCGTGCTTTCAGAGTACTGAATATTAGGAGAATCCAAGTGTGTGGCAGTGCCAAGATGAAGGGATCAGGGTGGGCAGTGACTTCTGACTCCAGCCCAGTTGGCCAGTGAGGTTGTGTGGTGCCAGAGAAACATTTGAAGTTTAAGCAGCGGTCAGGAAATGTATGTGAGGTGCACAGAGGCAGGCTGAGGACACAAGCCAGGCTAGCCCTACCAGAGGGGAGAGCAAAGCTGTTAGGGGCCGAAGGGGCGTATGTCTCAAACTTGAGAATCACCTCCCTTACTGCGTCACAGAAGCTGTGTTTGAACCGGTTCACTGTGAATCTACTGATGAGTCTTCACTGTTTCAAAGTGTTACTGGCAGGTTTTCAGGAAAGAAGCAAATGGTAACAGAGTTGAGTGGGATTTTTAGGGCTGGCGAAAAATATAAAAAGGTTATGAAAAACTGGGTTTCATAATCCATATTAACGAAGGGTCTCAAGTGTTAGTTGTTTCCTTCTCCATAAACACTTTAAAATGATTATCCTGGCTTCTAATTTTAAGGGGTTAATACCAAGTTGTTTACTTTCTAATCACATGTTCAAGAACTATTAAAAAAAATGCACAGAGTAGCAGGGATAATTTATTTCAAGAGGTTGCCCTTTAAGTCAAGTATCTCTTGAATTTTTAAATAGCTTGATTGTTCAGTTTTAAAGGAAATCATAAACATTAAAGTAACACAGCTTGAACAGCCAAAAATATATTTGCCAAATGTATTATGAAATATAATTTAAGAGGTACATTTTCTCAAAATCAGGCTCTTTACATTTTACTCTACATAACTTACTGCAAATTATTTCTAATGCTCCTTTTGATACAGTTCTAATAGAGTGCAAATTATGCTTGAAAATCATCTAAATATTTTTTTTGAAAATGAATTTAAATCTCAGCTTCATAATCATACTACAGAGAAACTGACTTTTCCTTGAGGTATAAATCCCTTTGTTTCTTCTCACAAGAAAAGGCAAGCCCTCCAGACCTGTAGGGAAGGCGTCCTGCGTGCACGCGGTCTGGGAGGCAGCGTACAGTTGGCGGTAGTGTCACCTGTCAGAAGTCACCAAGGAGAGAGGCGTTGGGTGGATCATTGTATAAAATAAAAGACATTAGCAGATGTGGCTACACTCACCACCCCTAACGGTGCTGTTGTCTGCAGTACGTGCAGTTCATCCGGCTGCTGGAGAAGCTGCTGAGGTCGGCCTGCGGCCCCGGCGAGCAGGAGCTAGTGCGCAGGTTCCGCAGGAGCGTGGCGGCGCGGTCCCAGCAGCAGCAGATCCCGCCCGTGCAGCATGATGCACAAGGCGCACCCTTCAGCATAGGCCAAGGTAGCAGGCCGGGCTCCCCTCCTCTCCCCCCCTTGCCCCGGGCTTTGAGGTTGCAGTTGGGTTGGGTTGCTGGAGCCATACTGGATTTCCCAATTGCAAGATTCTCTCCAAGTCTTAAAAACTGGTCCTGACAGTGACCAAGGACACCACGCAGCCTGTGCCTCTTCCTTCTCACGTTTCCAGCTGGTAGGATCGGTGACGTGTTACAGCGAATGCCTCGCTCGGACACTGAGAACCGCAGTGCGTCTGCACGGCGGTCCTGAGCTGAATCCCAGAAAACCTCGGGGAGGCCGGCTCAGTCGCACAGCCAGCAGCTGCGGGGGGCCATGGGGAGGTTGAGGGCCCTGGTCGTTTTCAGCAGTTTTCCCAGGACCTGCTTGATGCGTTCCTTTCTCCCCATTATAGTTCATTGCACTGTTGCAATATTCTTAATGCTGTATTAGGAATATTCTGTTTGTCAGGTAACTGACGTTATGTACATTGTTCCAGGGTTGGGTTTTCCTTTTCTTTTTTTGCTGAGACAAGTCTCACTAGGTTGCTGGGGCAAGGCGCCTCTCATAGCAGTGGAATTGCAGACATGCACCTCCGCACCCAGCTTTATTTTGTTTTGTTTTGTGTTTTAAAGAAGTTAAATGAATACGAATGACTATATAAGCCGTTAAAACTAATTTAAAATCACGGCAGTGTTCCTAAAATGGAATTGAGGAACAGAATGCCCCATGATAAGCTTTCCTATGGTGACTGTGGTGTGGCATACATATCTTATTTTTGCCTGACCTGTGTTAATCCTGGAAGCCTCTGAAAGACAGGGCGGTCTTCTCTTATCCTTGGAAAATTAATTTTAACCTGTCTTCGAGGTTTTTACTAACAGGAACTTAACACTTTAAAGGCAGGAGGAAGACTGCACAAGCGGAAGCAGTCGTCACCGCGCAGGGCAGTGGAAGGATCCAGGTGAACGGCGAGGATTACCTGCACTACTTCCCGGTCCTGCAGGACAGGTGGGCAACGCTCTGAGTTTCCGAGGGGGCCGTGCCTCGAGCGCCACTGGCCTCCAAGACGCTGCTCCCCACCAGCCAGCGCGTGCTCCGGAAGGAAGCCCTTGCAGTTTTCCATTTCTGGAACTGCGCGTTAACTGCTTCTTCCTCCTCTTTTCATCGGCTCATATTGGAATTCTAAATTCTTAGATTCTCTGAGCTCTGAAATGCAGTCCATGCAGAACGCAAGAGAAGCAGGCTTCCGCCTTGGCCCGTGGAGGCCAGAGTGCCCCACACAGGGTCAGCCCCCAGCCACCGCAGCTGTTCCTGCGCTCAGGCTGAGGGTGAGGGACGGACAGGACACTGGGCAGGCTTTGAGGCCTCAGGGCGTCTTCCGGAACGCCTGCCCCGCCTCGGATTGTCCTGCCGACAATCAGGGGAACTAGATATGCCTCCCGGGAGCAGGCAAAGAAGCCTGCTGTTTGCAGGTTACAGGAAGGGCTGGCAGGCTCTGCTGGTCCCAGCGCTAACGGGGGTGTTTGCTTTCTTGAGCTGTGTATCCCCGGGAGAATCAGACGTGATAAACAGATGTTAGGGTTCCTCTATCCCCTAGACGTGCTCGTATTCGAGCTCTCTGTGAGCTGTTGAGAAAGGGCCCTTCCTGAGATGATTCCGTGTTCCCGGCCTCTGTCTTCATCCGCAAGTCACGGAGCTCGCGTGGTTGGTTCCTTCCCAGCCCTCCTGCTCCCTGAGTGGCAGTGCCGTGTGCACTCAGCGGGCTTCTGGCATCTGCTCTCAGGGCGGCGGAGGGCCCGCCTCTGGCACGCATGCGCACTTGTGAATTACACTAACCCTGCCCTGCTGCGGCTGGGAAGGTGAAGCGCTTCCTTTGGGAGGAGCCTTAGGGAGACCGTGCCCCGGGGGTTGGTCACCTCAGCACAGGGGCAGCTGACTGGCAGTTTGCGCGGCTAGGGCTCCTCGTGGACTGCGCAGCAGGTCCAGCTCTATCGACCTCACGGCTAAATTGCACCCATGGATCAGTTAACCACATTTGCTGTCGTTGCTCCAGAGAGCAGCTGATGTTCCCGTTCCACTTTCTGGACCGGCTTGGGAAGCACGACGTGACCTGCACCGTGTCCGGGGGCGGGAGGTCGGCGCAGGCGGGAGCCCTGCGCCTGGCCATGGCCAGGGCTCTGTGCAGCTTCATCAGCAAGGACGAGGTCGAGTGGATGCGGCAAGGTATGTGCCCAAAAAGAGCGAGCAGAGTTGGACACCGCGCATGGGGCCCCGAGACCAAGGGGTGATGTAACTGCAGTGTGAATGGGAGCTGGAGCAAGAGACGGTGGCACCGCAGCTGTGAAGACTGAGCCCCACCTGGCGTCCAGTCCAGGGCAGAACACAGCATGGCACATGTGGGCCTCGCCCTATCTTAACAAGCGCTTAGCTCTGCATGGTGAGACGGCATGGTCAGTTTCACCGTAGAAATCGGCCCTACTGCCTAGTGACAAAGCACTCAGAATTTCCCAGAACGTACTGGGAGCTTCGCTGTTTCCACTAGGACATTCGCTTGGCTCCTTCCCCTTTCCCACACCTGTACCCTGTCACCTGGGGGTCAGCACAGGATTGCCTGCACGGTGTGGACTAGAGCGTCAGCACACGGCAGGCCAGGGAGGCAGGGCCTCTTAGTCCACCTGTAGTGCCTCTGGGCCAAGGGGACCTCCCGTTCCCCGGTTAGCTGCTGGCTCTCACACAGCCTGTGGCCCAGGTTATCTAACTTCTCAAGCTCCTCAAAAACCCACTTATTTATAAACAATTTGCCATCCTCTGAGATTCTTATCTACTTTTTAAAATACAATTTAACAGGACGTGACTGAACTATTTTACTAGTGTGAGCCACTGTGCATGTCTGAAAGTCACAAACATGGTGGGTATTCAGACAGAAACTTAGGTCTTCCTTGTGTTTTGCTCAAAATATTACTGCTTTAGTCCATGCATGCCTTTCAAGAACAGATAAATGCAAGGGCTTGTGAACAAATACAGGCGGGTTCCCCTTCCCTAGCTGGCTGGACACGGAGCGGCCTCAGGAGAATGCGCATGTGTCCTCCAGCCTGGTCTCGAATCCAGAGCTCTGGCATCGGGACGGCCCTGAGCACTGCCCAGCCACTGCCTGGGATGCAGCATCAGCTTTGCCTGCTCTAAGCCCTCGGCCCTCAGCTTGTACTGAGCGTGAGTTGTGGCGGGAAGGCCTTCCTCACAGGCCGCACCCGAGCTGTGTTCTGCAGGCCCTGGCCATGGTGTCTGGGCTTCACACACTGATACCTGCCTCTGTCCCCCTGGGCATCACCTGGCTGTGCGCTGATGGAACCTGCACAGGGCGGGCCGGGGTTTGTCAGAGACACTGGGAGAATGTCGAAAATGATCGAAGGCAGAGAGCCTCGGCGGCGGGATCCGAAGGCTCAGGCCTCTGACGGCAGGGCCTGGGGACTGTGGGGACTCACCCACTGCGCCATGGGGCTCCTCTGTCCCATCCATGCCTCACTGGCTTCTCTCTGTGCCCAGCTGGCCTGCTCACCACCGACCCGCGCGTGCGAGAGCGGAAGAAGCCGGGCCAGGAGGGCGCCCGCAGGAAGTTCACCTGGAAGAAGCGCTGAGTGGCACCGAGGTACTGCGGTCCCCATTGCAGGCCAGGCTGGCAGCACTGCCTCCCTTAGAAACTTTGGGGCCCTGATGGGATGTATTTTTAAGTGAGGCTTCTTAAAAGTTACCATTAAAAAATTAAAACTCAAATCCTGTCTTCATTCTGCTGCTTTAAACACTTCAGAAGCACTTCCAGAACTACTGAAAAATCCTTAAACCTTGGCATAGGTATGAAAGGCACATGGAGCAAATCCCAAGGCGTCACCACCTGGGGGAGGCGGGTTTCCAGGGCCAGGCCTCGGCGCATGGGGCAGAGCTGCTCTCCCTGTCTGGGTGCCCACTGGGCTGTGATCAGTGGCAGGTAACGCAGCAGGGCCACTGGTCACACAAGGGGCACACAAGGCAGCAAGAGGAACAAGGGAGAGGTGAGACTCTTCCCCTACCTTGTGTTGTGTGCGGGTTCCCTGCCCTGTACTGGGTGTAGCACTCACACCCTTAATCCTAGCCAGAGGGTGCCACCCATCAGTGGACTGATTCCTAATCACACAACCTGGATCCCAGCACCACACACTAGATCCAGCCACTGCTGAAAAAGCCCTGTGACTGCAGGAGTATCTGGGGGACATCAAGACACAGACCGTAACAGCACTTGACATGCACATAAAGTGGTCCTGCAGGTGCACAGTCCTGTGCATATGGAAAGCTCTTGGGCCTCAAGCCCCGAACTGTGTGCCCCGCATATGGTAAATACCATACAAAGCTGCAGACACAGCAATCTGGGAGCACCTCAGGTGGACACTGCTTAGCCTCCAGGAGCCCCAGAGTGCACCACAGCAGAAAACCTTCCACCCTAGACGCTGAAAGGAGCAGCCTGGGACCAGAGCTCCTGCCCATGGTTGCCCATGGGTGGCGCCTGCACTCAGCAGCCTGGGGCCCTGGACCACTGTGATGCAATCCCACGAGGTGCTAATGTGCTTCGGGGGTGGGAGGGTGGGGGACACAGATTTCAGCATAATTAGGAGGCTTGAGGAGGAAGCAGAATTGAAGCCAAGTCCTCCTGGACGGTGGAACATTGTGTAATTAGCATTTGCTGTCCATGGCTAGAACCTCCTCATGTACAGAGGCAGCACGCATGGTACCACTCAGGCGGGCTGGACCTTAGTGCTGTGAGGACTCGTGACCCGTGGGACTTGGGACTAGGCAGGGACCTGCAGGGAAATGCAGGGATGCATCATGTGCAGTGATCACCCTGAACCCCATCATCACAACATGGCCCCCTTTTTATTCTTCACATGCTTGCTCCCTGGACAGTAAACCATCGATAGAAGTTGAAAGTCATGTTGAGCACCAAGCTGTAAAAGCTACCAGGGCTCAGCACTATGAGCAAAGCCCTCCCAGCAACGTGCTTTTTTGATAGTTAACCTGGCTCCTCAATTTGAGTGGCTTCAGGAGCTGCATAGGGGATTACGTCACATACTGGGTATGTCTGGGTGGGTCCTGAAGGCGAGACCTTGAGGACTGTATTCACCTCCGCCTCTTCCTTTCTGGTGCTGTTCCCAGTGTTCTGCTTCCAGGCCACTGTGGAGTGAGCAGCTTTGCTCCATCATTCCCTTACACCACAATGTTCCTGCTTCACCAGCTGACCCTGGACTCCACTCTTTGGAACCATGAGCCCAAACCAACCTCCTCCCTTAGACTGTACATGTCAGGTTTTTCCCAGTCACAGGAAAGCTGACCAATGTGTTGTCATTTCACAGAAACTGTAAATGACTACTAAGGCTCGAAGTGTCCCAAAAAATATTTTAAAGGAAGAATTTAAGTCACAGCACTATATTACTTTTCCTTCAACACAGGCCAGTCTTTCAACTAAATAATCAATTAATGTGATGTCTAAAGAAGGAGGACCCATTGCCAGACTTCAGTGTTTCATTAGCCCCGGCAGAGGCTTAAACACTAACTTTCATGCAGCTAAGTCCTATACGGACCGTGGTTCTGCTGCTCTGCTCTGACATACTGACCCTCTCGGGGCTGGCCACACCCACAGCAGGTAAAGGACTCACATGTGGGCATCACCTGCCGCTGGCCTCAGCCAGAGCCCACTCCCCAGCCCCCTGCCTAACAGGAGCCCACTCGGTAACACCCCATTGGTGTCACCCCAGGCTCACTATGAACACAAGGCACATGCCTGCACCCGGGGGCCCTGGGTCATTCAAGGCTGCCAAGCCCAAGCCTGCCTCCTGCTCTACTGACCTCTCCAGACCTGGCCAGTAACAAGATCTCCACCCTCACTTCCTCTTGCCACGGTAGTAGATTAGCCAGCCAGAAAGTGGCCTTTCTGTTAGCGTCTTCTGTTTGATTTTTTATCCCTTGAGCATTTCTTTGCCACAGTTAGTACGGTCTCAGCTAGACAAGCTCATTCTAAGAGTGGCTTTTCAAAGGAAAGGAGAGGCCCCCTTTATTAGCATGGCACTGAACCAGACCTTTTTTGCCTGCTGCACGGGGTGGGGGCAGCAGCTACTGAAGTCACATGCAGCCGTGCCTCGAAGCCCAATGTGGAGGTGGAAGACCAGCGCTCAGATCCGCTCCCCTGAGGATGGAGCAGTACACTGAAGCAGTCAGTGTAAGCTCTGGCTTCCTGGCTTTTCTGGGAACCCCAAATCCAGTGGTGTCTGCATAATTGGAAGGAAGCGGTTTGGGCCCCTGAAGTCACCATTGGATCCAAACAGACCCAGGGGAAGAATTGGTGCTTTTGACAGAGTGGCTTCCACATCCCCAAAGAGACACTTGTACAACTGTCATCATGACTCACGTGCCAGAGGCATCACCCATCGAAGAGCTCATGAAAGGGAGAGGGCTTGTGCCTGGCTATGTGACCCCCTGAGGGTGGGGTCTCCAAGTAGTCAGTGCAAGGCCGCCCCTTATCCCCCCCCCATCCATGTTGGGTACTGTCTTCCCGTGTGTCTCTGAGCCAGGGTGCCTCCTCCTTTGATGGTCACATTCTCAGGAGCGGCCCCTGGCCTTCTGAGACACCTCTCCACCATGAAGGACACAGCCGTGGAGCCAGGTGTCCCACAGGAGAGAGAGGCCCCCCAGCAAGGCTCGGCTATCACACTGCTTCTCATTCTAGTGCTACCTCTTAAGCTGTCACAGAAGCTACGACCACTTTGGATTTTTGTGAAAACTCTGCAGGGGGATTTAAGGTTTGTTCCTTTTTCATTTTCCAGATACTTGATTGTGTTTCCCCTGGGGAAGATTGAACACTCTCCAGGGAGTCGGCCTCCCAGCTTGAGGTCTGCTCTGCAGGTCCGGAGGAGCCGAGATTCCTCCCCTCTCCACCTCACATCTCACCCCTCAAACCTCTGCACTAAGCATGCACCTTTACTCCAGGGGTCAGCAGTTTCCTCGAACACCCCCCCAAGCCCCCCCCCAACCAAATTCCTATCTTGTAATTTCCGAGGTTGCTTCTCTCAGCCAAGGAGGAAAGGATGGAAGGAAGACAGTTTGCCATCACCATGTTTAATAAGAATAAAAGAAGCCAGACAGCAGGACCATCTTGGTGACAGGCTGCAAAAGCCCAACCAGCTCTCTGCTGGGGGAGAGGGAAGCTGGGGCAGCTCCTCAGAGGGGTGAGCAGCCTCCTGCAGGCAGGGCTGCAGAATCCACTCCTCCAGGGAGTGAGAGAGGGGATGATTCCCCCCCAGGGCGCATCCTCATCTTGATGTGTACCCCATGCTTGCCTGTCATTCTAGGGCTGTCTGGCAATAGAAGCCCTCATTTCAGGCCTGCAGGGTGTGGCCTGGAATCCTGTCTGAGCCATAATTGATGGGGATCTTCTGCCTCCCTGCCATCTCCCCAGGCCCTCCCAGCAGCCACCCAGGGCTGAACCCCAACATGGCCCACTGCACACTGGGCCGTGCTGCACACCGGGCCGTAGCCCACATTCCACACCCCCCCCCCCCCCCACACACACACCTCTCTTCTGTGTGCCTGGAAGGCCTCCTGGGGACAGTCAAGTCCAGTTCCTCCTGCTGGCCTAGACCCCAGCCACAGCAGGAGACTTGCTCCCTTTGTGTCCTGCCTCAGCAGGGTACCAGTGAGGCCTGGAAACAGGCAGCCAGCCCATACTTAGGGAACAGGTTGAAGGTGTGGCCCTTGAGGAGTCACTTTCTGTTGGGGAAACAAAAATCAGATGTTAGATGTTACTTGGTGCAGTAAACTAAATTCACACACAACTCGGGAAGTGCTGACTCCAGGAAGCCGAAAGAGGCTAGCTGGGGAGGAACCTTGGCTTAACTTAAATGGGGGCCAGGGGAGAGAGCCCCCTTTGGGGCAAGGCTGCAGGCAGCCAGCCACGTGCATCGCTGGGACCAGAGGGCCCACTGGGACCAGAGGGCTGGTGCGAAGGCCTGCAGCGGGCGAAGAAGAGGAGGCATGAAAGCATAGTGTGCAGGGACATCCCTGGGGCGTTGGGGTTTCTTGGCACTCTGGTTCCTCCTGTGAGTGACCCCCACTGTGGATCACAGCAGGGCGTGACCCTTGCCTGGGTGGGGATGCCACCACCACAGGGCTCCTGTGGAGGTAGGGGACAAGTCAGGTGGCAGCAGATGGCACCGTGGACCAGGGTGCTGGCTTTTGGAAGGCGGATTTGTTTGAAAGCCACTTGGCAAACCCAGGGCCAGACCCTTGATGGGGCTGAAGTATAGATCACCCCTCCTGGGTACTCTATTCATTCGGGGCGCCCAGGACCACCCATGTAGCTCGCATCACAGCTCATCTGTTGCCTAACTGGAGAGGAGGGAACTCCGTGCCTCACAAGGAGAGGCAGAAGCAAAGAGCAGCCTTCCCACCAGGGTCTGTCAGGTGTCCACTGTGTGACATGGAGGCTGCCCTCCCTTGGTGCTTGGGATCCCGGGGAGCAGGCCTGAGAATGCACATTTGCAGCCAGTCCCCACCTCAGCGGACTCTGCTGTGCCAAGACCTGGGTGGGCAGCCACATCTAAGGATCTGGGGTGCAACACCATCGTTACCTGTCTCGAATGCCTGGGAATCCCGAGGTCATTTCATCCAGCCATTGTGAGCGAGATCCACTCTCAGGCAGGCAACAGAAACACTGGGCCAGCATGAGGGCGATTTTAGCTCAGAAAGCCTGC